GCAGTACAAATTATCATTATTTTTATTTTTACTAAAAATTTATATGACTGCATTATCTTATATATCTCACATATCAATCTTTTTTTATTAAACATACACTTTTCATTGTTTTCATGAAAAAGCAGCAGCATTTGTGATCGACATAAATATGTTTTAAGTAATCCAAATATCGGTAAAATGAGAAAGGCGACAATAGCGATACAATTGATATCGTAGAGGGAAGCGATATATTTTCCGTGCAAACGTTGGAAACTTAAGAAAGTCGTGTTCCGCCGTTTTGCAAATTTATTTCTTGCTTCATTGTAATGTTTTAACCGGGCGATTGCGCCGCTCGTTTCTTTCACGCTTCGGACCATTCGCCAAGCATAAATCACGGATATCCATTTGCGCGGAAATGCGCTGGATTTATGGTTAATTCGATTATACCGCCCTCCCGACGCTGGATACCTTCCTATTGTTCGCGGATACACCGACACGTCTAAGGAGAAATGCAGAAGTAATGTATATAAGCAGACTGTTTTCGACAGCGCGGATTCATCGTCGCGAGTTACGTTGATAAATAAGTTTCCCCGGGGGCCGCGCCGCCGCTCGTACCATTCTTCGTTTGATTTAAGATCGCGGAAAGCTGTGCGTCTCTAAAGCGCTCTCATGTTAAATTATTATACTTTGGCTGACCTACTTCGATCTCCTACTACGTAATCTCGACTAGCTCGCACCCTCCCCCCTTCGATCGTAACTGCCCCCCCTAGTATCCCTCGATCCGTTAAAGCAAAGTTTTCAATCGTGTATGAATATATATACGTGGAAATACGTATTATCATCCTCGAGTCATTTATATCCCCATTCTTGTCTTCCCTCCCCCCCCCCTCCCTCTGTACTACGCAGTCGAAAATATTATAGAGGAAAATATATCTTTGGTAATGCGATAAGAAAAGGTGCAGTCTCTGCATGACATAGGTTTTTTTTATATAACTATCTTATCTCGTTGACTTTTTGCATAAGTATTTAATAAACTTGCGTTTATAAATTTATCAAGCGATTACACATTGCGTATTAATAGGTATTTCCGTCCTGCAGAGTTTGTGTTATTATACAAAATTAGAGAAATGTTTTTCTATTTTTGTAGACCGAGGAATGCCAACGTTTCATTTCCTGCACAAAATCTCGTGCGGCTGTCGAGGAAACTCAAAGAAGGGATAAAATCGCTCTTTCTCATATATGTTGACTATCCACTTTCCGGAACGAAGTGAAGGACTGTTAAGTGTCCCGGGCGAACCGATCGGACTCTCGCATCGTCGAAGGATCAAAGTCCTGTCCGCGGCGCGCGACGCGAGAACAATGACGTTCGGAATGGAATTCCAGAACGGAAAGTCCCTGTAATTGGAAATCTCTCTCTTCCTATCCTTCCGTCCTTCTTTTCTCTTGCCGCGGTACATGGCCGATGTGAGGCTGCGGAACGGCGATCGATAGTTCCTTGACACCCGTGGGAAAATCGGATACGAGAGCCCTGCGACGCTCCCCACAGGCAGAAAAGGACCCCGGCTCTCGGACAAGAACCTAATACGCAAGAAGGATAAGCACGATGAAAAAGGAGAATTAGTTTCGGTTTTTATTCTCGTCAAGATACTATGAGGACAGAGAACAAAGAGTTTATCCGCGGATTTTTCTTTCGGTATTATCATTCCCATATAACCAGCCTTTCCTCCCGCGGTTTTCCCTTTTACGATTTATAATTAACGTAATTACGTGGGGCTTTCTTCTCATCGCGCGTTACACAAATTCCACGTAAATCTGTCTGTACGCTGTGAGTGACGGTGAAAAATCGCGGCCGTTTCCGAAAGCATTCGCGAAACGCTGCGCTCCGCTAAAATTAGCCTCTTTGCAGAAGGCCCCAAATCCGTTAAACGTTTTAATTAACTTACGGGTTTGAACAGTGCGATTTAAAACGGCCGGTGAGAAACCGCATTTTATACATTTTCGGTGCGTAACGCAGACAAAAATGTAAAATTATCACGAGATGCTGAACCAGCGAGATTCAAGATATTTCAACGGTTTCTGAAAATCGTTCGCTTTAAACGAGCTTCGCACGCAGAACTCAAGCCTTGATAAATCGATAGGCAACGCCTTAGTATTTTAGTGACGCCTGATCGCTTTGTTAGAAAGAAATTAGCAAGCGGACACGTTGATTGTTAAGTCGTTTAATCGGATTACATCGCAGAATCGGCGCTAAGTCTGCCGTCTTCCAGAATAATGTGATCCGACGGATCACCTATATAGATGGGAATGTCGTTTCTGTCGCCGTCGTTCTCGTCGTCGTCGTCAAATATAAGATCAGACTAAGCGAAGGGACTAGATCTCCGCCGATCTCCGTCTCGGAATATCTACATATCGAGAGAGAGGCCTTCCGAAGGGAAACTTCGCCGATGGAATTCGTAACGAACCTTCACGTTGTCGTCTCGCGATCGACGACTCGCTTCGTTTCGTGTCTCGCTACCGCGAAGTCCTGTCCGCAGGGTAATTAGATTCCGTCGAGTGAGATCAAAGTCTACCGCCATTTCCATCCCCGCGAAAAGCTCCGCTTCTCCTTCAAGTTTCTCGGTGCGGTCGTTTTTCTCTTGGCGACGAACTCTCAGAGAGCGTGTCGCCGAACTTTTTCGACGACAGGATCGCGACGGAAATCTCCTCATGCAGTGGATAGATGTAATCAATAAATACGGAAGTAGCATTATTGTTTCTGTCGTGGTACAATATATATTCCAAAAAAAAATCGATACATATTTTTTATTTCTTTTCAATATGCTTTTTGAATAAAATATAAATATAAAAAAATATTTATATAAATATAAAATTAATTAAAAAACATTAATATGAAATATAAAAAAATCCGTCTTTGATAAAAATCTTTTTGATAAAAATTTTTTATATATACGTTGAAAATTATGCTTTTAAAGAACCACCGTCTAACAAAAACTAATTAGTATAATAGCCGTAAATGCTTTAATGAACACAGTTTACTTCGCCTGTTCGATACAGCTGCGTGTTATTCAATTTCTTGCAAAAACTGCATTTCGAACATTTTATGAAGACGATAAGCGGATATAAAACAGACAAGAATCTTAAGAAAACTATTGTGCGACAGAGGAAAGAGTTTCCAGCTCCGAAGCAGATACGTTTTCGATACTGCGCGTGTGACACTGTGAAGTGCGAATCGAGGAAGGAAAAGAATACGGGCGAAGCAATACCCGAGGGCACAGCGCGCTTTTACACCTTTTTCACCGTAAATGTCTCGAGATAAACGTTCCTACGGCGGAGCCGTCGTACATGTCGCAGCCGTCCGTCGTCTGGCGCAGCCGCTCCGCCGACAGGGGGATCCTTGTGTCAGGACGAATTCATAACAGAGTCATAATTGCGGGACGGGTCCCGCAGTATGCATAATCCCGTAGTTAGCAGTTCTGCTTAACGATCCGCGAGAAGCAATCCCGACGTACCTGCCATGCTGCAGGATGGAGGCGTCCCGGCCAACCCGTCCCTTATTACCACCCTTGCATTCCGTCCCATTCTCTCCCCCCCCTCTCTCTCTCTCTCTCGTCATCTCTGTGTAGGGACATGCCTAAGCTATACATAGAAAGACGAGGGCACGTACCGCAAGGTACCGTACGTACTGGCGAAAATCGCCTAGAACCTGAGTGTGACGCGACAAAAACCGTGGATAAAGAGCAAGGGCCCGAAAAGGAGGATGGGGGCGGGTACACTCGCACTGGAAGAAGAGAGAGAAAAGCAAAAGGGAACAGGGGAGTTCGTTAATTACAATCTCTCTGCCTGCCACCGTTCACCGCAAGCGACCGCGAAGAGGATCGGAGGGAGGAGGACGCGCGAGAGACCCATGGCAATATCGCGTTCGGACAGTGACGCGAACCGTCAACGTGGATCATGGAAGTAGCGAGGCGGATATTGCCACTCTTTAAGGTGGAAGGAAATCTCACTCGTTTTATCGAAACGCAAGAATTCTAATCGACGAAGAGTAATTACCCTTGTTTCCGATATACCGATTAAATATTAATAACGATTCGTTATGATATAATGTAACAAACGCAGATAGATTTGAATGCAATACAGTTGATGTAAATTATATTTTAACAAAACCATTTCGTCATTATTATTTTAGTAGTTTCTGTTGAATGATTATAAATTATTTTGAATTTTATAGAAATTTTATGACGTGTTCTTTTGTAATTGCGATAGGTGACGTGCTTTTGTTAATATTAAAGAATAGAAAAAGTTTTAAATAACGCTTTAGATATTAAGCCACGCGAAAAGCCAGACAGAAATATTGAAATTTGAAAACAACCGTAATACAACAAAATTGATACATCCAAATAAAACGCGCTAAACGAGTTCAATTTACACGCCGTATATTACGTATCCCTCTTGTTTTTGAAAGGATATATCTGTATGAAGATCAGAGAAAAATGTGTCCGAACGACAATAGCCAATTAGAGAAACATGCGATGTCGGTCGGATTCCGATTCTATCGGAGATAAATGCGTCAGAGTGCGCGGGAATGAGCGCTACATTTGTCTGCTTTGTTTTGTCAGCGAGATGCCATTTCGCGTACGCGTCGGCGCGAATAACGAAGCACCCTTAATTCGGCCCCGTAATTAATTATACTCCCCGTTGTTTCCCGTAGCGGGAGTGTCCCGGCAGCGGTTTGAAAAATTTGTTATAACTCCCGCTGACGACGTGCTCGTGTGGAACGCGCTTCTCGCGCGCACGTATTCATCGCGCGCACACGATATCTCGTCGTAATCGTTATAAGTAGTTCAGCTTCATACGCTCTTATGATTATTTGGATTCGCACGTCGGCGTGTCGCGGCAGTCTATCGGATTATCTCGCACCAGTGGCGATTTGAGCCGACTAATTTATCGACAGCCTCGATGCACAGGCCGACTCTCTGAATCAACTTACTTAGGTATAGACATAGCTACATCAACTCACTCACCCGTGTGCGTCCTTTGATGGGCCTTGAGATGCGAGCTCTTGGTGTATACCTTCTTGCACCCGGGGAATTGGCATTTGTGTATCCTGCGTTTCGTGTCGGGCGGACTGTGCTCGTTGCTCCTCGCGTGGTGCCTGTTAGCCACGGTGGTCGTGGCCGCGGTTGCGCCCGCGTGCGCGTGTTGCGTGCCGGCTACCGCGGGGAAGCCGTTCGCCGTGACGGAGATCAGTCTGCAAAAGAGGAAAAAAAAACGCGATTTGCTTCCTCTCATTGGCTGTATTTTAACCTCGATTGTAATTAGCCCCGTTGCGCGCTGTCGAGGCGCGACATCCGTGAAACGGGGCCCCGTGCGTGTCACGGTTCGCCTGCAGCCCCGGCGAAGTTTAACGCCGCGCGAAAATAGCAAGTAGCGTGATCGGTAGAATGTTGAGTAATCGGCGCACGTCTCGTGCTTCAAAAGAAACGCGAGCGAATCGAGAGGAGCGCAATTCCGGCGACGGGTTAATGATGGATCGCGAGAGAGCGAATTGTTTTAAGTTTCTTATCCCGGCGAGAACGTTCCGGGGCTACTTCCCGACAACGTCGACCTTTTTTTTAACGAGCCCGTGTCTTCTCTTTCTTCTTCTTTTTTTTTTTTGTAAATTCCGTAGAAAATTGTCGGGAACGAATTGGATGGGATAAGTCGAGCCGGAAAGTACGGCCACTTTACGTCAGAGAATGCCAGTTACAGTTAATCAAGATAATTTCCGAGCGAGACGTACAACTATACGGCGCATCCGTCTTTCGTAGGGCAAGTATCGCGTTAGACGACTGCCTCTTTCAATTTCTAAAGGCAATTAAGTTTTCATTAAGCAAGAATAGGAGCAATGAGAGAACGTCAAAGAGGAACCGCTAATACGGAAGCGGACGTTTCTCTTTTGCCGACCTTTCATCATGTAATCGCGGGAAAGGAAGCGCGTACGTATCATCATTTGGAAGTGGTAAGTATACGCGAATTTTACGACACCCACCTTGCAACACCCTGCGCGTTCCCGGCGGTAACCCTGACGATAGCACTCCTACCGCCCGTGCCGTGAAGGTTGAGGTTGTGCACGTCGAGCATCGAACTTCCACTCGACGAGTGACTGGAGTTGGAATGACCTTGACCCGAACCGGGACTCGACGGCGGCGTTAGGATCTGACCTTCGCTTTCGCACCCGCTGTCCTCCTCCTCCTCGATTTCCTGCAGCGGCAAAATCGCGCGCATTATGCAACGAGATTACGATTAATAACGTAACGGGATTGATTGCACGGTCCGTGAGTCGCCGCCGGGTAATCGTATCGGGACTCGGACGAGTCACGCCAGACAAATAAACCGATGAGAGTCGAATCGCGATCGTGCAATCTTGCGAACTCATTACGTCCAGTTTCGTTGCGTCAATGCAGCATCCCGCGTCGTATTAAATTAGAAATTGTTTTTGCAAGAGAGTATCTTCAGTTGGATTTGAAAAATAGTTGGAAAAACAACTTCGCAAACAATATATTTATAATAAATAAATCAAATTTCGTTATTAACGTAACGTCTGCGAATTTCGGACTTCTGACGCGTGAAACTAACTTCTAGAGAGTTAAAAAAGTTAATTGGATTTTTGAAAATATTTTCAGAAAATTAAAATCGATAATAATTTTGAGAACAAAACCTCCGTCAGAATTTTCTAAAAATGTTCTATTAATTTACTATTATAAAACAATGTATAAAAGAATATATTGTAAATTCATATATATAAATTATAAGAATATATTGTAATTTATACTCGTGATTAATTATTTTCCTAATCGAACGCGGCTTTTTAATTGTAGTAATACATCATTAATTGAAATCGCAAAGTGTGCGTAACGTACCTCATGCTCCTCATCCTCCTCAAGGTCTTCGCTCGGTTCTTTTTTAAGAATGAGCGCTGTGCAAGAGAGGGAGGGTGAGCTGTCCCAGGACAGTGCTGAACACGCCGAACTTGCCGAGGACATCGATAAGGAGTCGAGGTGACGATCGAGAAGATCCCTATCGCGGCCATTGTCATTATGGTCGCCAGGACTGAATTTGATGTCGTCCAGACAGAGGGGATCTCTCTCGTCTGACGACGTCGTCACCTGATTTGCAAAGAAAAAAAAAACGTTATAATTTCTTAAAATAATATTTACCTTCTTTTTCACGGGTGGAAGGAGAAGATAATAAAGTTATTAATATTGTATTAAATATAGATACACATAATTAGTAACATATAAACGAAAACAAAGAGAGATTGTTTATAGATATGATACAACATTAGATTTTAAATAGAAAGATTCTCTCTGAAAAAGTTAACAATATTGTATTAAATATAGATACACGTGAAAGTAACATATAAACAAAAACAAAGAGAGATTGTTTATAGATATAATTATCTAATAGATAATATAAGATTAGATTTTAAATATAGAAAGATTCTCTGTGAGATATGTAATTTGATAGTAGGAAGATTAATAATTTGTAAATATGGTTTACAAATTATGATTACACACCTCCATTTTGATTGGGGCATCGAATTGTGCGCTCGTTCCAGTGGACGTCGTCCACGAGATCGATGGTGCCCTGAAGAGGTTCCAGGGCGCTGTGTCCAGTTCCGTGGGGAGTTTTTTGTACGATTGTAGCTTCGGCTCGTCCTTCAGGTACCTCTCCATCTCGTAGCATGTCTGAAAGAGGAGACAAGAGAGCTTGTTAGGAGACTGAAGCGACTTAAGTATCCCGCCGAGCCACTCACGCTAAAATGGTGGCAATGGGCGGTACTGTGGCTTAAATTTAATAGCCATAAAAGAGGGGGGGAAGGGGAAGGAGGGAAGAAAACCGATTACGATCAGATGATATATATCGCTTTAATAGTGATTGGCCCTTCACACTTGAATATAGAATACTTAGTGAATATTTGATAAGAAATTTTACGGAGTTCTGCGCAAAAAAAAGTATAACAGATCACCAGAATAATCTAACGAGTTTATAAATTATCGGAATGTTGAAACAATGACATAGCCTCACATAGCTTTATTCATTTATAATTAAAATTTGTAAATTCTGTTAATCAATTCGATTAGACGAATCGCGTAATGTATGTAGTAAAAAAACCAAATATTTTCTTGCGATATATTATAATCTGTTTTGTATAACGATAAGCACCTACGGCGATCGCGGGGCCGCAAATGCTGCAGAAATTATCTTTAGGAGTCAAGCATAGCATCCCATATGGGAAAGTACATCGCCGTCAACGCAACTACTCGCGAGTTTACGAAGTTGATGCTCTCCCGTAGGCTGTGCCAGTTTTGGTATACAGTTCCTTGGAGAGAGTACAAAGTTATGCTACTCACTGCGAGGAATTATGCACCAACTATACCACACAAATGAGATTATAGCACCCCGTTCTGGTTAAGTCTCCTTCGGGTCCTTCGTCCTGTCGACTTCTCTTTGAACGAACGTTTCGCACGGCGAATAAACATGAAATAATAGCTGCGCCATTACAGCTTGCGATTTTAATACGTATCGCGTATGGAAGTTTTAAAGCTAATAATGTTATGAGACAATATCTGTTCGATTTTGCAATAATTCGATTATCGGTCCTTGCAATCATCCATTTTCACTTCAACGCTTATTTTCACTTACTTTAATGAAAGTCTTTATATTGTCAAAGAAAATGTAAAAAGATACAGTTAATGCGAGGGAAAGGCAAATGGTCGACGTAAAAATAAGAAATATACAATGTGTTTAAATTTCACATATAATTGTCTTTCGCATTAATTGCAATATACTTAATTGTCTTTTGTTCAGTTTCAATGTTGAATTCATTACATTTAAATATAAATGCTATTTATTGTCTTCATATTCGTTTCCAATATAGTTCCATAATTTTTTATTTTTCTTTATTATCGTTTTATCGCGCCGTAGCGATACTATCACTATCGAGATAATTTTTTTAGTAAGTATCCGAAATCATCAACAATGGTATTAATTATTGAAAACAGTATGCTATATTCTACGAGAGTAAATTATACGAGCGTGGAACAGCCATATTACTCTTCTTCCCGCCTGCGAGCTAAAAATGATAGCTGACGCAAGCATTCCTTGTGCACTTTGGTATCTTCCTTCGGGCATTGTCTGCCAATTTATTATTCGCCCTAACGGTTACCATCAGGAGCGACGGTTCTGTCTGACGCTATTACAAATGAAGCTATTCGGCTTCCATAAAGCTACTTTAAGAACGTTTGTTACATGCCGACGCTGGTAGCGGCATAATGTGGTCCATCGAGAAATATGTTCTTAACGTCATGGCAATCGCACGTCTTAATGAACAGCCTCTTTGTAGCAGACAATTAAATTACGGTGTCCGTCTTCGCTTTTTAAAAACAGAATTTCAAGAGTGAAGCGCTCACAAGCACTGTTTTTATGTCAGGCCTTCAATTAAAACATAGTGTGCCGGAGTTAAGTGAATTAGGAAGTACCTACTGTATTGCAGCACTAAGTGAATGCGGCTTTTGAAACCGCAGTCGTAAAATTAAAGGGTAAAGTGTGCGGGACTCCCGTAGTCATCTTTAATACTATTATTTACGGTAAGTACGTCTAGAATCAAACAACGAGCAAGAAGTCAAGTCTATTTTCCCGCCTGACAAAGATTCTTCGGGAACTGCAAAAAAAATGGCTCCGCGCCGAAGTTCGAGGGCTGCGTCTAATGCCGACGGTCCCTTCTGCGAGAAAAATAATCGCCGCCGGGCTCCTTCATTATTCACGATTAAAGTTCGTCCGGGGGCACCGTGGGTACGACTAACGGCGTTAATATAACTTGGAAAGGAATTTTATCACTCGCTTAGGGACCGTTTCTCCTTCCCTGGGGCTTGCTCCGGCATCAACTGAACTTTACTAATCCTGACCTCCGAGGCACGGCTCTATATATAGACAACCGATCTATCCCGTCGACTTAATCTGTCAGAAAATCTTCGAGGAAAACAACGTTAATCGTCGTTGCAAATAGAACAATATTAATGCGCGCGTTCGAAACGGTACGAATATTGATTGATTCTAACTGAAGGTGTCTAAATAACTAGCACTGTTTTGAATACATATTTTTTAATAAAGCACATTATCAAGATAAATGGAAAAACAGATAGAAAAAATTTCTAAGGTTCTACAAAATGAAGGAAAACGTATATGTCTCTATTAAACAGTGTCTTCTTTCGTTATTGAAATAAAGGTGAAAAAATACTTGAATTTAATCGAGGACAATCAAATAATATAAAAATCGTATTTGTATGATGAAAACTGTCCACTTCTAGACTATTCAATTTCATTCAAGGCAAATATAAATTAATATTTTATAATAATTACACTTGAGTCAAACAAAGGCATTTGCAAACCTGTGCTTAAACCTATGAATAATATCAAAATTTCGTCGTTTGTCAGAATGTAATATATATTATGTTAATATTGATTCCGTTCAGCGTCGTAACCTATCGCAAAACAGGAAGCAAATGCATTTACGAGGCTACGTACGACTTGCGTTTCGGGGAAACCGGAGAGTTCGACCTTTCGCTTAGTTTCTAGATTATTCCGGGAAGGTGGATGGCTTCGCGGAAGATATTTTGATTTTCTTTGTTTCCGTAACGGTAAACCGGCTCGCTCTCTCTCGCGCGCCGCCTAGGAGCGCGCTGCGCGAAGGAATTGCCGGGAAAAATAACCGGGAGCTTTCCGGTTAAGCGCACACCCGTAGCTTTACGACTTCGCGGAGACGAGCCGAAGCGCGCGTCCCTTTCGCCATTGGCTCCGTTAAATCCAAAACTGCGTAATAATTTAGAAGCTCACGGTGCAGGAGCCCGTCCGCGTCCGTGCCCCGCGGTCGATCACAATAGCCGCACTAACGTTTTCCGTCGGAGTGCCCCATAAGCATCCGAATTGCGGAATTCTCTATTACGCTTTTCGCGATGAGCCCACAGGCCATTCGTTCGCGGATTTATGCGACCCTTCGCCGCTCTCTTCGTCATGCCTGGAATTCCACCGGCGAAATTATACAATTTGAGAACTTGTTCGCTCATCTCATGTACACGGCTATATTTTAAATACAGGACCATGTCCCATTTTGCGTGTTCGAGTTCTCGATTGTAGATAACTTAATTAAGCGCAAGAGCCGTGACAAGCGTGTGGCGTATTCAATATTGATAAACAAATTGAGAGGATCTCCCTCTCTCTCTCTCTCTCTCTCAAAATTATATCACCAATTTTTACAAGTGATATTCCTCTCGCGGGACCTGAGCAAACACTCGGTGAGTGCGAATTTTTTTTACGATGTTTACTTTCTTTTAGCTGACGAAGGGATCTCGCGCTGCGAGGGACAGCGGCAATAAAAAAATTCCATGGATCGATAGGCCGAATGCTCGATGAAAAAGGACGATGAAAGGAGACCATCTCGCCATTATGTTTTTATTGGTAAACCTGTAAGGCCATTTGCAGCGGATTTATGAGGTTCCAGCGATTCCGCTGCATCACATACGCGATCAGCGAAAACATTCCCGCTGCTCGTTAAACATCGTGTCAGACATTAAAGTGCAATTATTCAGATATCGGGGCGTTAATATTTTAAGCGCGATGATCAGAAGTATGATCAAATTTCAGACTTTTTACAGATGTACTAATATCTACTTGTTATATTGTACGTACATTATACTACGTGGGCTTATAATACTTAATGTTTTTTATCAAAAATTGTTGAGACGTAATAATAAATATTATGCTGTATTTAATATTATTAGTATTATATTATATTTATTATTATTAGTTTTTAAACTTAAGCACGTTATCTGTAATGACACTATCAAATTTGATTCCAATCAATGATGTTATTCACATAAATCCTTCCAATCATCAAATTTGATTCCAATCAATGATGTTGTTCACATAAATCCTTGATAACAATCGTAAAAATTGATATATAGAGATCGCACAAAACTCTCACCAGCTAGGTTTCGCAGGAAATACAATTTGATTTTCTGGCGACCTCTAGCTGCAATTACGTTTCATTCGGTATCGCGTAATGTTGTGATATCAAAGGACATTTGCGGATTTTTATTTCTCATGAAACTACGGGGACTTTCTACATCCGACCAACGAGGTCATATCTAAAAGGGAAAACGTCTTCGTTGGGCTCAATGGGCGCAGAAACAGTTCGGAGATAATGGTCACTCCCTACGACCGATAAGACCGTTTTTAATGATAACGGCGTCATTTCGGAGTTTGTGTAGGATAGAGCTCGATTCGTCGGTGGGCTATCACATCGGACAAACAGTAGGAAGAAGAAAAAAAACGAAAGAAAAGAAAATCGACCGGATCGTGGTGCGGAGCGCGAAATCTGAACGGACAAAGAGGACATCGAGAACCCCATCTTGGATTCTCAAAATCTCTTATCGCAGCCCGCTCGTAGATCCCTGAAAGCCGGACTCTTCTCTCTAGAGGCCACCCGTCACCTCACACTACCCTCTTTCTTCTTCTCTCCTTCTCCCGCGAACTGTATAGTTTAAGCAAACTCAAATCTCACGTTACTCAACCACGCGGAGACGCTTCGACAGTAACGAGACCGGAATCCGCTGGATCTGGCGGTAACAATAAAATAAAGTATTTTCAAGGAGCCGTGCGCCTCTCTGAAGCGGCTGCAGGCTCGAAT